ATCTGAGCCCTGCCCCCCCCCCCACAGGTGCCCCTTTCCCAAGTTGTTGCTGAAGCTGTCCTCTTGGTGATGGGGTTGGTGGGGATAAAACCCAGGGAGCCGAGCGTTTTCTCTTCTCTTGTCCAAGGACTTGGGAAATAATGGAGCTGGAGGAATGACATATGCCCTCATCTCTGTATCAACCCCTAAGTTATAAGAACAGCTTATGTACTATCCTAAGAATTTTTTTTAAAGATTTTATTTATTTATTTGTCAGAGAGAGAGAGCACAAGCAGGGGGAGCGGCAGGCAGAGGGAGAAGCAGGCTCCATGTGGAGCAAAGAGCCCGATGCCAGGCTCGATCCCAGGACGCGGGATCATGACCTGAGCTGCCCAGGTGCCCCCTATTCTAAGAATTTTGAATGCATTCATTCATTTAAACCTCACAGTGATCCCACAAGGTAGTTACCATTGTCACACCCATTTTGGGGAGGAGAAAACTGAGGCACAGAGAGGTGAATTAATTCACCCAAGGTCACATGGCTTACCCTCCCGGAACAGCCCTCTTGACTGGCCATTCTCTGGAGTAGGAGAGGGGTTGAATCTTGCTCCCTCCAGCCAGAGCCGTCTCCCCAACCAGCTCACCTGGCACCCCTTTCCCCAATGCTTGCTGCCTGGCCGGCTTGTGCAGGGGCAGGGCTCCTGCCTTTCCCCAGATGGTGAAGGGCAAATTTGAGGGTCCCTTCCCAGGACCCCAGGGCACAGGCCCCTTTGCTCCCTGAGTGAGGACCCCAGCCTGGACGTGACAGACCTCTCCTGCCTGTCCACAGCCAAGGATGGGTCCTCTAGGCCCTGGGCTACTTCCACGGCATGCAGAACACCTGCTCATTATTCAAAGCCCAGGTCCCTTGCCCGCTCTTCCATGAAGCTTCCTGAACTCCCCTGGCAGGCATCTGCTGGTCTCCAAGGCCCTACTGAGAGCATCTTCCACATAACAATGGCTGACTCGGGCGCATAACACTGTGCCCACCACACAATAACCACTCTACCACAACAGCAGCTATTCGAACATCTGTGACACTTCTACCTCCTGATGATGGACGCTGTGATGCACTGTTCAGGTCTCCTTCAGGACCAGAAATCCCCGGCTGCTGAGAGTGCTGCCAGCAGGTGGCTCTCAGCTAGCAGCCCCCTTCAGGGATGGCGTCTGCTGATGGGAGCTGCCTTGCCCAGTGTCCCGGCCACTTCTCAGGGCAGCCTGTTTCCAGTGACAGATCCACATGGGGGTTTAAAGGCCTGGTCCCCTAGCAGGGCCCTTACACTCAGGACAACTCTGAAGACTCTCCCCAGCTTCAGAGCTCCCAGCTCAATTTCCCTCTCTGCCCAGTCCTGCCTCCCTTCCTTCTCTTCCATGCATGTTCGTTCCAAGAGCACACCCCAGTAAACTTCCTGCACACTGATCCCCACCTCAGAGTCTGCTCCACAGAGTACCCAATCTGTGACACCTACTCCCGATCTCTTCCATTCACTGATTCCTTCAGCCTGTTTTCTTGAGTACCTATTATGTGTCAGGCCTGGCAGCAAAGGCAGGAGATGGAGCGTGAAGCTAACTATCCAATGGGTAATCATATCTCCTACCTCCCACCAACCTCTACCGTAAAATCCACAAACTTCTCTGCATCTGGGCCTCTCCTCTCCTCCTTTGTGTCTCCATGGGAGAGCTATCCCCCTCTTCCAGGGCCCAGTCTGCCACTGTGCTCTGCATCCAAGGCCCTCCCACCAGGATGACCAAATCTGTCCTTGTTTGCCCAAGACTGTCCTGGTTTTCAAACTGAAAGTCTCATATTCCGGTAAACCCCTCAGTCCCAGCTGGGCTAACAGGTGTGGTTGATCACTGTATCTCCCACCTTCTTGGGGACTTCACCTAATTGCTAATCACACCTCTCCTTACTCTTCAGCTGCTCACTCACTATCAGCTCCCTCCCATCATTTAAATCTCTCCTTAAAAATCCTCCCTTGACCCCACCTCTCCATCCAGCCTCTACCTCCTTCCTCTGCTCCCCTTGACAGCCAGATGCCTTAAAAGAGTAGTTACTACTTTCTCACCTCCCACTCTGGCTGTTGTCTCTTTATTGCAACTGCTCCTGCCAAGGCCACCCACAACCTCCTTGTTGATAAACCGAGGGGACACTTTTCCGTCTTCATTGCGCTTGACTTCTGTGCTAGACCAGACCGTGAACGAGGTCTTGGATTTGGTTGAAGGATCTTTTAAAATCGCTCTAGGGCGCCTGAGTGGCTCAGTTGGTTAAGGGTCTGCCTTCAGCTCAGATCATGATCCCGGGGTACTGGCATGGAGCCCCACATCGGGCTCCCTGCTCCGCGGAGATCCTGCTTCCCCCTCTCCCTCTGCCTACCGCTCCCCCTGTTATGCTCTCTCTCTGTGTCAAATACATTTTCAAAAAAATCTTTTAAAAAACCCAAATAAATAAAATCACTATATCTGAAGCAGCAAATGCCCTACTTGGGTGCAAGGGATGTGCAGTGAGAAGTGTGCAGGTGAGAGAACGTGCCCCCCCTCCTCTGAGCACCTAGGGTCGGGGATCTTGCCAGTTGCGGATTGTGAGATATCCACAACATATTGGCCGTATCAGCTCAAAAATATCTGCCACCATACAAGGCAAAAATTCTTCACCTAACCCTTACATCTGGGTTCTAGGCCTTGAAATTCTGATTAGGTCAATGCCAGGCTAATCCCCCTTTATTGACATCGGTAGTGTAGGGTCCACGGGTTTTCCATTTGTGTCCACTAAGGTGGGCCTGGCCACGTCCTACCAAAACTTCTCAGCGTCATGGGCTCCTTTGACTCTCCTGCAAAATTCCTTTTCCTTGGCTTCTGAGATCCAAGGAACAGCTCCTTTTGCTCCAACTTGCATGCCAATTCCTCCTGACCCCCTTTACTGTTCTCATGATAGCCCATATATCACATCGTTTTTAGTACTTGCTTAATTGTCTATTTTCTCCCATAGAGTGCAAGCTCTGTGAAGGTAGGAGGTGGCATTTATCACTCACCACTCTATCTTCTGGGTCCACCAATAAATACTTATTGGATGAATGAACACAAGAACACCTAGGACCATTTCACCGAATGTCCGCAATGTGCCACACTTACATTATTTCTAATCTTTGTAACAAGCTAAGTGTCCCCTTCCCGTTGCCCACAGCTGGGACAGCCTCAGCTCCCTGCCTCATCTCACTTTCTCCAGCTAATTGTCCAAACCAGAAGTGGATCAAGGCAAGACCTGGCTGACAAGGACACAAGAGGAATTTGTTCCCCTGGTGGCTCCTCAACCACACCCCTAACTTCTGTTAAAATGCATACCCCTGGGTGCCTGGGTGGCTCAGATGGTTAAGCGTCTGCCTTCGGCTCAGGTCATGATCCCAGGGTCCTGGGATCGAGTCCCGCATCGGGCTCCCTGCTCGGTGGGGAGCCTGCTTCTCCCTCTGCCTCTCGCTCTGTCTCTTATGAATAAATAAATAAAATCTTAATAAAATAAAATAAAATGCATACCCCTGTGAGAGGGAAGGGGCCCCTAAGCTGGAATCCATTCTTTAACAGTTATATTTCTCTTGGGTAGTGCAGATGGCAAGAATACCCTAGTTTTCTTGTAGCTTTACAGTGACAGCACCTTTGCATCATTTTCTCATTTTATTCTCCCCCCAAACAACAATGCTATCCCACTGTATAGCAGGCGAGGGAGGTCCAGGAAGGTGAATGAAGAGTTTGAGTCAAATCAACCAGGTATTAAATAGTGACTCCACTATCTTGATGTCAGGTCCAGGGAAGTTTGCCTCTTGCCCTCTTGCATGCCTGTTCATTGTCCCAGTGTGGGGACAGATCGGGTGAATGAAACTGGTGAGCAACGGGCTTCCTGGCAGCCACCACCCGTTTCCTCCTGATCAGATTCATACAAAGCTATCCCCTTACAAATGCTGGTGGTTTGGAGGGCTTTCACATCCAGGCTGTGTTAGGTGAGTGGGAAGGGCAGGATATTTACCCCATTTTATGGATGAGGAAACTGAGGGCAGCAGTGGCTTCCGCAGTCTCAGCACTGATTGGTGATTCAGCCACTAGTGACTGGAATCAGGCTCCCTGATTTCAGTGCAGGGCTCTCTTTGACCTCCACAACCTCCAGCGTTGAGGATCAATATGAGGTTGGCCCACCAGAATCCATGCAGCGAGCGGTTATGAAGGATGGAGGCCGAGCCTCGTATTCAACAATCAGTCCAGGATATTCCTGACACCGCTGAAAGGGTGGAATTGCCATTCTCTGTCTCCGCCGGCTTTTCCACACCAAGGTTGTTCTCAAAGTTCATTCTTGAGATGGTCGCGGAGCGAGAAGAGCCCCTGGACAACGGCTAAAAAGTTCCTCTTGAATCAGTAGATGCCGTCTTAGCCCACAGAAAAAGATCTGAAAATGTATTTGATATCTGGTTGCTGCAGCTGGTGATGAACCCAGCCCCAGGTACGACAGGGTGGGCCGCGCCTTCCCGGTACCCCAGCCCCCTACAGGTTTCTGCGGGTCTGGTGCAGGACAGCCCCGGAGACAGTCTCAAAACCAGCAAACGGGGAGGGGAAGTGCGCAGGCGCACAGTTGACTGCACCCGCCCCCTCGGAGCTGTACTTGGTTACTTAGGAAACAGCCAATCAGCGATCCGGACGGGGACCAATGGGAAGCGCGGATGAGCCGACCCGGCTAATTTGAACGCGCGGCGCGGGGCCCAGGTTGGCGCGGGTGGGGAGGAGGGTGTGGGGCGCGCTTTCGGGTGGTCTGGGGCTCCGGACTGCGGCGGAGGGACCCGGCTGCGAGCGGCGACAGCAGCGGCGGGGAACCGACGAAGGGTAAGCTCTGGCCCACGGCGGAGTCTGCCCCGCGGGCTCCGGCGCTCAGGTGGATCCCGCCGCCCAGGGCGGAAGCAGCTTTTGTGCCAGACGCAAAGGTGCAGCGTGGAGACCGAGCCGGTTCTGGGTGGTTCCCTCTGAACAGGACGGGGGCGGTGCGGGGAGCAGGGCTCTTCCTTCCACATCTGCATGGAGATCGGGATCCCTCTGCTCATTTGTACCGGACCTGGACTGAGTCCACACAACCGCACGGGGTCCGGCCCTCTGTGCACCCGCTCTGTGGAAGGTCCTCCTCCTCGCTAGAACTGGAGACCTGGGACCCCTGCACATCTGTGTGGAGTAGCTAAGACCCTCTCCGCACATCCATACGGAAGAACTGATTGCAGAGCTGTGCCAGCGGCCGAAACTTAGTTATTGGGGCACTCAGTAAATATTTGATTGAATAAAGGAAGGAATGGAAAGACTACCCGTATGACAGAAAACCATGCCTTCTGCTACTGCTCCTAGGATGCCTCTCCTCTTAGCTTTGGCACTTTTGGCCCTTTAAGATAGAACAGAACAACAGAATACATGTGTAGGAAATTTTTAAAAAGGAGTTCGAAGAAACTAATGAAATAGAATTTTACTATGTAATAGAATTAACTTAACCAAAAGCTGTATCTTGGAAAAGACTAGTAAAAGAAGCCAAACCTCTGGCAATATTGATTATGAAATAAGGAAAAGAAACAGAATGATCTTAGGAATGACAATAGGGGCATAGCTTAAGTTACTTGGAGACTAAAGAGAAAGAGGGACTTCAGTGGAACACCCTTTTGACAATGCTTTTGGACAATTTTCTAGAAAAAAAACAACAGGAAACTGACTCAAGAAGTTATGGAAATTTTGAACACACCTAGGACCATTGAGGAATTGAATTCATTTAAAATATCCCCATTAAACAAAACAAAAAACCAAATAAGCAATTGGAAGAAATTATTCTAATCTTACACAACCTCTCCCTTAAAAAAAGAGAAAACAGTTCCAGTCTATTTTGTGATACCAATAATCAGACAGAAAGTTACCAGCCAGTCTTCCTTTATAAATGTAGTTGTGAAAATCTCAAATAAAATATTAGCAATCAGAAGCTAGCAATATATATATAAAAAATATATCATGACCTTTTATCTCAGGAATATGAAAATGGCTTAAGATTAGAAAATCTAATACAATTTACAGATTAAAGGAGGAAAATATCCCATTAGGCGCAGAAATAGAATTCAATAAAATTCAGTACCCATCCATGAATTTTTAAAAATTTGATAAACTAGGGGCACCTGGGTGGCTCAGATGGCTGAATGTCTGGCTCTTGATTTCAGCTCAGGTCATGATCTCAGGGTCGTGAGATCGATCTCCGCCTCAGGCTCCAAGTGGAGTCTGCTTGAGATTCTTTCCCTCTGGTCCTGCTCACTCACGCTCTCTCTCTCTCTCTCAAAATAAATAAATAAAATCTTTAAGGGGTGCCTGGGTGGCTCAGTTGGTTAAGCGTCTGCCTTCAGCTCAGGTCATGATCCCAGGGTCCTGGAATGGAGCTCTGTGTCGGGCCCCCTGCTCAGCAAGGAGCCACCTTCTCCTTCTCCCTCTGCCGCTCCCCCTGCTTGTGCTCACTCACTCTTTCTCTCAAATAAATAAATAAATAAATAAAATCTTAAAAAAATTTTTTTTGGTAAACTAGAAACAGAGGTAAATTTCCTTAAACCAACAGAAAGTGAAATAACAGGAGCATCCCCTATGCAATTAGGAAAAAGATGATTGTTTACTATTGTTGCCGCCATTCAAGGTTGTACTGAAGGTCCTAGCTAGAACCATAAGACAGGAGAAAGAAATACAAATAAAGTTAGAAAGAAATAAACAAAATTATCATCAGTTACAGCCTTATGATTGTCTATTTAAAAAGCAAAAGAATACAGCTCCTTCCTCAGAACGACACCCGTAGAAAGAACCAGTGGTCTTTGGATAGTGCCCTGTGGGTGCTAAAGTAAGGGGAGGTAGGAATTGCAAAAGCCAGGCTACAGGGCAGAATAGCCTAGGATGACTGATGAGTAATGTCTCTGGTGACAGTCAGAACAAGGTCAGGCTCTGGCCTTGCTACTTACCATCCCTGTGACAAGTTCCTTCCTGAGCCTCAGTTTCCCTTGTACAGTAGGATTGTAACAATTGTATCAGCAACTACAGAATGAGATTGTTGTGGAAGTTAAATGACACCATTTGTAAAGCAGTTAGCATAGTGCCTGATGCATAGTTATGTGCTCAATAAATGGTAGCTATAGTAGTAATTATTTTTAAACTTTTGGATTCAGACCCTGCTCTTCTCTGGCTTTTATTCATTCCTAGGACAAACACCATACAGCATCTACTGTGTGCTGGGTCTGGTGCCTAGTTATCTGGGGTGCACAGACTACATCAGAAGGGGGTCCTGCTCTCTTGAAGCTTGAGGACAAGACACACACACGTGAGAGATGTAAGGGAGTGAGGAAGGGGGCTGCAGCAACCCCTATGAAAACAGAACATCCACCTTCACCTTCCCAGCTCCCAATGTCTGCAGGCAGATCCCAAGTCCTCAGAAATTCTCCAGGGGCTTCTAGGGAGGTGGGGCTTGTTCAGCCTGTCCCTAAGAGAGTGGGCAGAGGAGCCTACCCCGAAAACAACTGAATCTCGGCTTCCCAGCCCCAGCTCAGCAGCGAACTAGCCTCTGGGTTTTAATGAGCTGCCCTGGGTTAGAAACAGGACGTGACTGTGGCTGGCTCAGACCCTGAAGATCTTATTAAAGAATCATCTCCCTTGTACTTTGGGCTGAAATGCTCTTTCCAACCGGGGATCAAAGCAAACTTGACAAACGTTCTCTCATTAATCTCCCCATCCCCCTGGGGTGGGAGCAGATCGGTAGCTGTTCTCTCTGGCTCTCAAAGCGGGGAAGCTGAGGTGACATTGACGTGGTGTGGCTGGTGGAAAGAGCTCCTCACTGGTCAGATGCAGAGCCGACACCAGGACCCAGGCGTCCCAGCTGCAGCCCTGCCAAGTGTCACCCTACCCACCCCACCCCCACCCTGTGCCCCCAGCGCAGTCTCAGGAAGAAGGAAAACATCTCATTAGGCAAACAGTCTGCCTCACTGGCCCTCAGGAGGCGGAGAGGAGAGGACTGTAAAGGTTATGCGCACTCCGTTGCCAGTGCCCTTTTTAATTTCCTGCTTAGAATGTTAGGCTGCTCTGTGGCTCCTCCTCAGCTCAAACCCTCCCCGTGGGGAGCTTGGCACTGCCATTAAGCCACACAGCGTAGCCCTAGATGGTGGGGCCAGGCACCACCCTCCGCCCTCACTTCTCTGGGTACAAGAGTGGGGCTCCCTGGGGGCAGGAATGCAAAGATGGGAGACAGGGACTCTCTCCGGGTGTTGAAAATTAGGTACAGTCCATATATCTGAAAGTGTTTGCAGAATACGTAATGCCAGTTGCATAAAAGGGATTATAATTATTATACAAACATATGGGAATATTACAACAATGTGATCATGAGGACGTAATATATAATATCATTATAAGGCAGAGTAGAGCAGGTTCTGCAGTCAGACTGCCTGGGTTGGAACCAAGCTCCATCACTTACTAGCCCTGGGATCTTGGGAAAGTTGCTTACCCCTCTCTGTCTCAATTTTCTCGTTGAAAAATGAGTCTAATAATAGTATCTGTCTTGTGGGATTGCGATGGAGCTGAAAAGGAGATGGTACGCATAAGGTGCTTAAAACAGCCCCTGCCATAGAGAGCACTTAGCTCTTCTGTTTATTGTGGCAATCCGATGGCTGGGACAGGGAAAGAAATACGCAATGTAACAAGATGATTATTGGTTGATATCTTTCCCTTATTCTGCTTGAGGAAGAAATTAAGACGTGTGGGGGTAGGGGACAAGAGTTTCAAATCAGCTCAATTCTGCCTCATTCTCAAAGGAAAACCCAAGTTACTTACTGGAGTATTAGGGAGAAATCTCACTTTTCTTTGCTGAATGACCTGGGTCCTATCAGTGGGATCTAATCTTTCCCGGGAAAACATTCATCTATTCATATCCCTCAGAAACAGCCCCTGTTCCTTAGCGCTGTTAATATATCCCAAGAGTTGGGCTGAACTTTTCCAGGATAGCCATGACTCCTGCATTCCAGAAATTCCATCTCTACCCTTGGTAGGCTGGCTTGAAAGAGAAATGAAAAAAGCAGGGAGAGAGGTGTGAGGGGGATACAAGAGGGAATAGATAAATGTTTGGAAATATTACCAGGTCAACATTAGGAAATCTGTCTATGTCACCCCCTGTATTAACAGATTAAAGGATGGAGCACCTGGCTGGCTCAGTTGGTGGAGCATGGGACTCTTGATCTCAGGGTCGAGAGTTTGAGCCCCACATTGGGTATAGAGCCTACAAAAAACAAAAAGAAAAACAACCCCCCCAAAAAAACAGATTAAAGGAGAAGCACTGTTATCATCTCAGCCCACGCCAAAAAAGCATTTGATAAAATTTAATGCCCATTCCTAATGGGCAGTGGAGGGTAGGGAACTAAATAAAGAAGAGCTAAAAATAGAAAGTAACTGTCATTATTTGCAAACTACAAAATCATTTAATTGAAAAACCTAAGCGAATCAATGACAATCTATTAGATCAGTTATGTGGCCAGATACAAGATCTGCATCCAGAAAGCAGTTGCTTTCCTATATTCTGGCAAATAAAAAAATGAATTAGAAAATGTAATTTTATTTATTTTTTAAAGATTTTATTTTTTTTAAGATTTATTTATTTTATTTTGAGAGAGAGCATGTGTGTGTGTGTGAGAGAGAGAGCAGGGGGAGGGGCAGAGGGAGAGGAGAATCCCAAGCAGACATGCTGCTAAGCAGGGAGCCTGACACAGGGCTCAACCCTGAGATCACAGCCTGAGCCAAAGTCAAGAGTCAGACACTCAACCAACTGAGCCACCCAGGCGCCCCATTAAAGATTTAAATTTTAAGTAATCTCTACAGCCAGTGTGGGGCTCGAACCCACAGCCCTGAGATTAAGGGTCGCACGTTCCACTGACTGAGCCAGCCAGGCTCCCCTGAAAATGCAATTTTAACAAAGGGCCTATTCACAATATAATAAAGACTAGACAATAACCAGTAATAAACCTATCAAGAAATAGACAAAACTCATGTGAGGAAAGCTATGAAATTTTACTAAGGATTATAAAGGGAATAATGAAAAGAGATACAATGTTCCTAGATAGAAAGGCTTGATATTGTAAAGATGTCAGTTGTCCTCATATTAATTTATAAATTCAAAATAATCCTAATTAAAATCTTAAGCAGGTTTTTTTCACAGAATTCTGTAAGCTGATTCCAAAATCATATGCAAGACCAGATGCCCAAGAACAGTCAAGAAAAAGAACAAGGTGATGTGTAATAGAACTACAGCAAGTTCCTGCAAAAGGAACATATCAGTAGAGAAGAATGGAGCGCCCAGAAATAAATTCATGTTCATATGAGAATTTAGTTTTGTTAAATGTGCCATTTGAAACGGGTAGAGAAAGAATGCATTTTAATAAAAGATAAAATCGATGGGGTGCCTGGGTGGCTCAGTCGGTTAAGCGGCTGCCTTCAGCTCAGGTCATGATCCCAGGGTCCTGGGATCAAGCCCCGCATCAGGCTCCCTGCTCAGTGGGGAGCCTGCTTCTCCCTCTCCCTCTGCCTGCTGCTCTGCCTACTTGTGCTCTCGATCTCTCTGTCAAATAAATAAAATCTTTAAAAAAATAAATAAAATAAATGATATAATTGCTTATCATTTGGAAAGAAAAGATATTTAGAAACCTCATTCATAAAAAGATGAATGCCATCTGGATAAAGACCTAAATGTAAGAAAGAAAAAGTGTCAGACAGAAATATAAGAAAATTACCCTGGGGAAGGAATGTCTTCTTAAATATGACATAAGAACCATAAAAGAGAAGGTTGACGCATTTAGCCATTTAAAAATGGAAAACTTCAGTATGGCCAGGGTAGGATTTTTTCCCAAGAATGCATGGTTGGTTTGATGCCAAAAATAATATCAAAAAGTTTACCACATCAACAAAATAAAGGAGAAAAAAAAACAAACCCACATAAACATGTCAGGAGATGCTGAAAGCTCATTAAATAAAATTCTAGACATTCCTGATAACAAGTCTAAGTTAAATAAGAGTGGAGGACATTCCTATGATGATAATTAACTATTTGTCCAAAATTAATTTCTAATTAGTGAAGCACTAACGCCAGTTCCTTTAAGATCAAGAGCAAGACAGGATGCCCGTTATCATTATTCAACATTGTTTTGGAAGTTCTAGGGAGTGCAATACATAAGAAATAAAACAGTTGGTATAACCATGGAGAAGAAAAGGTAAAAAAAGAAGGGTTTTTTTTTTCCCTGATATATAATTGTGTACTCAGAAACCCCAATAAGCTTTAATAAAAAAACAATTGGAATTAATCAGGAAGTTTAAGAGTGGTGGGTTGAAGGCAAATGTATAATTATCAATTGTGTTTCTCCATACTAGCAATCAGTATGGAAATGGGGAAAGGTGCTCCGTTCATAAGAGCAATTAAACTACTTGGAAATTATATTAAAAAGACAATTACAGAACCTATCTAAAGAGATGAAAAACTATAAAATCTTAGGAGGTGCCTGGGTGGCTCCGTCCTTAAGCATCTGCCTTTGGCTCAGGTCATGATTCCAGGTCCTGGGATGGAGCCCCATATCGGGCTCCCTGCTCCACGGGGAGCCTGCTTCTCTCTCTCCCACTCCCCCTGCTTGTGTTCCCTCTCTCACTGTCTCTCTCTGTCAAATAAATAAATAAAATCTTAAAAAAAAAACTATAAAATCTTAGGGACATAAGAAATATCTAGGGCGTCTGTGTGGCTCAGTCAGTTAAGCGACTGCCTTCGGCTCAGGTCATGATCCTGGAGTCCCTGGATCGAGTCCCGCATCGGGCTTCCTGCTTGGCAGGGAGTCTGCTTCTCCCTCTGACCCTCCCCTCTCTCATGTGCTCTCTCTCATTCTCTCTCTCTCAAATAAATAAATAAAATCTTTATTTTATTTTTTTTTAAAAGATTTTATTCATTTATTTGACAGAGAGAGACACAGCGAGAGAGGGAACACAAGCAGGGGGAGTGGGGGAGGGCGAAGCAGGCTTCCCGTGGAGCAGGGAGCCCAACGCGGGGTTCGATCCCAGGATCCTGGGATCATGACCTGAGCCGAAGGCAGACACTTAATGATTGAGCCACCCAGGCGCCCCAAAGAGTGATTTATTTATTTTGCGGGGAGGGGCAGAGGGAGAGGGAGAGAGAATCCCAAGCAGACTCCCCACTGAGTGTGGAGCCTGACATGGGGCTCAATCCCATGACCCTAAAATCATGGACCCGAGCCAACATCAAGAGTCGGCTGCCTAACCGACTGAGGCACCTAGGCACCCTGCGTGAAAAGTTTTAATATAAAATAAATATGTAAACAATACTATTCTGCTTGTAATTCCAATAGGGTGGGAGGGGGTGGTGTTCTGGGTTGGGGATAGAATTGATAACATTTTCTTAAAGGCAAGTAGAACAATAAATGCCTGAAAATAGTTAAGAAAATTATGAGAAAGAGGGGCACCTGGGTGGCTCAGTCATTAAGCGTCTGACTTCGGCTCAGGTCGTGATCCCAGGGTCCTGGGATTAAGCCCCGCATCGGGCTCCCTGCTCTGCGGGAAGCCTGCTTCTCCCTCTCCCTTTCCCCCTGCTTGTGCTCCCTCTCTCGCTTTGTCTCTTTCTGTCAAATAAATAAATAAAATCTGAAAAAAAGAAAAAATTATGAGAAAGACTAACGGTGGTGGTTGGGAGGGGAGGCAGTTCTTGTCTCACTGGATAAGAAGCATACTGTCAAGGACTGGAACAGAAAGAGTGTGGCACAGGAGTAGACAGATCAGTGGAACATAATAGCCCAGCCATTCGCCTCTGGAAAAATTCAAGTCATCTGGATATGACAAAGGTGGCATTTCGAGTGAGAAAGAGATTTATTAATAATATTCTTATTCTCTTGAGGTATCACATGGAGATCGGCTGTTGGGGAGGGAGTGGGAGAAGGTTCTTGAACACTAGGTAGGCTGAGGGCGCACCTCGTCAGGGCTGGGGTCAGATCGGTCCTCCTCTCTGTTGTGTGTCCCCCAGGTGTCGCCATGGTGACGCTGGTGGAGGACAGCAAGGTGCGGGTGGTGGTGCGGGTCCGGCCCCCCACCCCGCGGGAGCTGGAGAGTCAGCGGCGGCCTGTGGTTCAGGTGGTGGATGAGCGGGTGCTGGTGTTTGACCCTGAGGAGCCCGACAGGGGCTTCCTTGGCCTGAAGTGGGGCAGCACCCATGATGGCCCCAAGAAGAAGGGCAAAGACCTGACGTTTGTCTTTGACCGGGTCTTTGGTGAGGCGGCCACCCAACAGGACGTGTTCCAGCACACCACCCACAGCGTTCTGGACAGCTTCCTCCAGGGCTACAACTGCTCAGGTGAGAGCCGGGGCAGGGAGGAGGCAAAGCCCCGCTGGGAGCGGCCCTGCCTCCCTGCTTCCCTCTGAGGGCTTCATGCGTCACGTCACCGTGCCCTCCTTCCCCTCAGCTGGGCACTTGCTGACGAGGGTGCTGGCCCTTTCGTTCTCCCGTGTATGACACACCCTCCTGGGCTCTAGAAGCGCATCACACAGATGTGGTTCCTGTCCTCCTGATGCTTGTATTCTAGAGGGGGGAGAAGATACTAATCACAAATCACCCCCACAAATGTGTGACTGTAAACTGAGGTCAGTGAAATGAGGGACAGAACGGCAGGCCTTCGTCAGAGGAAGCTGCCTAGCCTGGAGAAGGCTCCCCCTGGGGAGGGAGAAGCTCCCTCAGGCCCCCGGAATCCACAGGTCCACGGGGAGCCAGGCCAGAGGCACGGGGCACTGCAAAGCTGCAGTGTGAACGCAGCGGGATGCGAGTGGGTAGGAGCCGTGGAACTGCACACAGGAAGGCAAAGGAAGGGGCCTGGGGAGAAGGGGGGGCTGGGCTGGGTGGCACAGGGGGACCCCTGGGGAAGGCGGATCCGGCCCTGCCACCACCCTCCCCCGACTCTGTCCTCCGCAGTGTTTGCCTATGGGGCCACGGGGGCTGGGAAGACCCACACCATGCTGGGAAGAGAGGGGGACCCCGGCATCATGTACCTGACGACCATGGAACTCTACAGGCGGCTTGAGGCCCACCAGGAGGAGAAGCGGTTCGAGGTGCTCATCAGCTACCAGGAGGTAGGGCTGGTCCCTCCCAGGCGTGGGCGGCCCCACTCCTCATTCTCAGCGCCCCTGAAGATGCGGGGAGGAGAGGAGAGCGGGCAGAGAGGGTGGGAGGAAGTAGGCGGACGGGCCCGCTGAGAGCCCAGGGGCCCAGATGAGGCTCTGAGAGAGCCTGCGTTGGGACCAAGCCTGCCTGTCCCGCTCTCACCGCATACCATTGTCCTGCAGAGGGCCACCCCTGGCACGGCGTCCTGCCATGCTTCCCTGTCTGCACCTCAGCCCTCGCCCGGCCTCTTGCCTCCTTCCTCCTCAGGTGTACAATGAGCAGATCCACGACCTCCTGGAGCCCAAGGGGCCCCTTGCCATCCGGGAGGACCCCGACAAGGGTGTGGTGGTGCAAGGACTCTCCTTCCACCAGGTGAGAGATTGGGCCCGGGTGGCAGGAGCAGCGTTGGTTCCCAGGGTTCTCTCACCAGGCAGTTTGGGGGTGCCCTGGATCCAGGGGTGGTTCTGAAGAGCAGCTCTTCCGGTTGGGGGAAAAGCCCTGGCTGGGGAGACCACAGCGCCCTGCCTGGGCATCTCCTCTGCAGCCCACCTCAGCTGAGCAGCTGCTGGAGCTGCTGACCAGGGGGAACCGCAACCGCACGCAGCACCCGACCGACGCCAACGCTACTTCGTCCCGCTCCCACGCCATCTTCCAGGTGAGAGCAGTCGCAGGTCGGAGCCTGAAGCTGGGGCTCCTGATGCCCGGCACCCCCTCACCCCTGCTATCTGCCCCCCAGATCTTCGTGAAGCAGCAGGACCGGGTTCCAGGCCTGACTCAGGCCCTTCGAGTGGCCAAGATGAGCCTGATTGACCTGGCCGGTTCGGAGCGGGCCTCCAGCACCCATGCAAAGGGGGAGCGGCTGCGGGAGGGTGCCAACATCAACCGTTCCCTGCTGGCCCTCATCAATGTCCTCAATGCCCTGGCCGACGCGAAGGTAAAACTGCACAGACCCAGGGGCCTGCCCGGGACAGCAACTGAGTGCCCGAAGCCTGCGGTCCTTCCCTCCAGCCCTGGGCCAACGGCTGCCAGGTCTCAGCCTGGATCTGTCTGGTCCAGCCACCTCCCCCCATGCCCTCTTGCTGTCGCCCCAGGGCCGCAAGACTCACGTGCCCTACCGGGACAGCAAGCTGACCCGTCTGCTCAAGGACTCCATTGGGGGCAACTGCCACACGGTCATGATCGCTACCGTCAGCCCCTCCAGTCTGACCTACGAGGACACCTACAACACCCTCAAGTATGCCGACCGCGCCAAGGAGATCAAGCTCGCGGTGTGTCCCGGCCAGAAATGGCCAACCTGGTGTGGGGGACAGGAGAAGGAAGGGACAGGACCCACACAGCGTCCTCCGATACCTGGAGCAAGCATTCCCCCAAGGCAGAGGGAAGAAGTTCCCTAGCCTCCGTCATCAGGGAAATTTTTTATGATAGAAGCGACGCAGTCCCCATCCTTGGGAAGACTCCAGCTCGGGGGGGAGAGGCAGGACAGTCTGCAGACTTGACAAAAAGAGTAAGATATCATAGCAGTGGGCTGCCTGGGACAGAATCGTCTCAAGAGGGTGACAACAGAAGGGGGTGGCCAAGCGCTGGCTGGTGAGAGTTGCCCTGGTCTAGGGAGGGTGTATTGGTCAGGGAGTCAGGGGTCTTGGGTTCAAAAGCATCCTTCTGCCTCTTGCTGTGGTGTCAGGCAAGCCACTCACTGCCCTTCCCCAGTCTGTTCCCCCTCGGGAGGGTGAGTCTAGGGAATGTGAGGGAAGCGCCCCGCACAGTGCCTGGCCATTGGAAGTGGTTGCCAAAAGCCGCTGTGAATGAACCCACGAAACTCTCCCCTGTGCCGCCATCTCAGCTTAAGAGCAACGTGATCAGCCTGGACTGTCACATCAGCCAGTATGCCACCATCTGTCAGCAGCTGCAGGCTGAGGTGAGGAGCCCGCCTGGAGAGCTTGACCGGGAGGCGGGGCACCCGGCTCAGGGACAGGAGAGCCGGAGACGAGCCGTGGGGCGCGGCCAGGGCTCTGCACCCACCTGGGGCTCTGAGGGGCTGCGTTGCTTTGATTGCAGGTGGCCGCCCTGAGGGAGAAGCTCCAAGTATATGAGGCGAGAGCCGGAGCCCCACCGCAGGACCTCCTGAAATCCCCCAAATCGGGCCCTTCCCAGCAACTGTGAGTCCTGCAGCCATTCTTGCCCCTTCAGCCAATCTTGCCCCTTCAGCTCAGCAGGGAAAGCCCCCCTTCTCCAGCTCTGTGCTGCCACCCAGGGTCCGGGCTTTCCAGCCCGTGTCCAGCACACTGATTGTCACTCTCGGTGACACTAGGTGACAAGACACTGATTGTCACTGCTAGTTGCTCTCATGTGACACAGTGCACTCTAGACAGTAACATCAAAATAGAAAAAAATCCTCCATGTCAGATGAGGACGTGACACCCCCAGCCCATGTAAGCAGCATATACTACTTAAAGGAAGGTGTAGTTAAGGGGGAGGCATCATTGTTTCCTAAACCAGGAAATCACCAACTCCTCCCACCCTCTGCTACTGCCCCCTTGTTACCCAAGCTGGGCCCTATACCACCTCGTGCCACAGAGACCCTGCCCCTCTCTGCTTTCCCACCTCTCAACATCCCCCTCCTGTCCCCCCTAGGCTTCCCAGCTGCCCCTCACCATCCCGCCTTTCCAGCCAGCCCTGCACCCCAGAGCTCCACCCAGGGTCTGCCGTCCTTCAAGAGGAGAGCCTGGGGCTAGAGACCCAGGTAGGGAGGGTCGTGGAAGGGAACTCTCCAGACCAGGAGCTGCCCCAAGAAGATAAGGACAAAGGCCCAGTGGAGGAGGAGGTAGGACTTGAAGGTGGTAGAATGTTGGAGGCAATGGCCCTCCCCAACTCGTAGACTCCCTTCAGTTCTGGGTTCCCTACCTGGATGTCTTGCATCTTAGTCATTAGGGGGCTTTCAGATCCTGTGCAGGAAGGGGAACTCCTCTGTGTCTGCAGTGAGGGGCAAACCTGTTACCAGAAGGAAAGCGGGGAGGAGGGTGGGGCCTGGGAAAGAGATTCTCAGCTAGGACCCAGTCAGTCCAAGAGCCATCATTCCCACTCTTGGAGGAGGAAAAGATTTTAAGATCTGCTTATGTAGGGGAGGGTGGTCATCCTGGGCCCTCTAACTGTGACTTCCTTCCTCCTTAGGTTCCAATCCAGGTACCAGAGCAGACCCTCAGACACTCACTGCCAAGGTCCCCTGGCCTGAGCCTGCAGCCCAAGCCAGATGTGGGCTGCCTCTCACCACAGAACTTGGACAGGGACCATTCTAAGCAGTAGGTGTCTTCTTCTCTGGGGTTCAAGGTGGGAGGTGATGGCTTCCATCCTCCTGGGGTAGGAGCTGGTGCTAAGTACATCAAAAAAGCTCTGGTTCTGCCCTAGTTAAGAGCTGCGTCTTCTTTTCCTCAACATCGTCCCTTATCTGCTTTCAATCAACTGGAGATTATCACCTACTCTGTCTACTTACTGTCCTTTCTATTCTTCCACATAACTGGCAAGCAAAACACCCAATTCCATCCCAAATTTGGCTCGCAAGCCCCGAGTTAGCACGGGGCTGCCCAGGCTAGCACTTTGCCTCCCGGTCTGGGGGCTGAGCTGCCTGTCCTCTGCAGGGAGGAACCAAGCAGCCAAGAGAAGTTGGATGGCAGGCTGAGGAAGGGACCGCCCTCCCAAGCCAGGTATTTATCATGTGTCTTCACCAACAGATTATGGCCATTTCTTCTCAGAAGTAAATACAGACCACCACCCAAAGCCAGAGAGAAATGGATTCTGGATCCTTCTTTCTGTGCTTAATAGAGAGGTGCTGCTAGTATGTTTTCCCTTGGCCCCTAGAACATAAATCCCCTGCCACTTAGCTTTGCTGCTGCCGGGCCCACTCTTGCCTCCCCAGCACGCTTCACACGAGGCAGTATATTTAAAGCTTCCGGACAGAAGGGCCTGTTTAATTTTATTTCTTGTTGGGGAGTGTCTGTTCCCGACTCAGCAAAAATGTTGCAGCCTGAATAATCAGCAGCTCATTATCTGTCTCCTGCTGCTGACTCCCCGGGGCCCTGGAGTGGCAGGGATACACTGGCGGGATGTCCCCTTGGCCCCAGGGCTTCCACCGATGAGTCAGGGTCTCTGTGCCCTGGTGTCTCCCCCATTGTGAGGACAGAGGACACCAGGGTTCTCGTTCCCGCTTTGCCTCTGGTTTTATGGTCCCTGACAAGGTGCTTCAGTCTTAGCTATGATTTGGGGATTATAGTCTTCATTCTCCCTACTTCTTAGAGCTAATAATAGATACTAATAAAATGTGACAGAAGACCCCATGTATCAGAGGCTGCAGAACATGCTAGATCATCTCCATACTTGGAGACACCCTAACAATCAGATAATGGAAAATCATTTCTCTTTGGCTTTAGACTTCAGAATCTTTAGACCACTGGGGCACTGAGTGGATCTTAGATTTTCCAGTTCAGCGGATTTTTCAGAATTTTTTTAGCTACAAAGTCCTTTCTTCAAATGGAATCTTATGCTGAAGTTTAATATGTAGAACAGATAAAGCAGAGCAACTCCATTTTCAATGTCCTCTGATGGGTTTCTTGAAACCTAATTTGGAAACCCCTGGTATAGACCCGCTCCCTGTTCGCCAGATTGGGTCCTGAGGCGTTCGCCCAGGGCCACACGGCCAGAGGGACAGGGCGAGGCCTGGGTCACCCGACATCCAGGCCAGTGCCTTTCTCCCTAGACACCTACTTCTCTCAGTGGTCTAATCTTCTTATAATGTGTGGCTCAGGCAGACATCGAATGAGTTTCTGCTATGTCCTTTTTAATTTATATCCTGCCTTCTTTCAGAGAGGCCTGGAGGCTGCTTTATAAAATACGTTTGGATTCCCTGAGCACACACTGAAGGCAGAGGAGGGGGCTCAGGGATGTCCAGGCAGGTAGTGCTACCTGAGGATAAATTATTGGCCATGAATAATCCCCACCAAGATAATTGTGTTCATTTTTTTATCATAGGTGTGCCTCACAGGAAGGAAATTTGCTTTATTAGAATCTAAATTTATACCATCAATAATCACATTACCCTCATAATTCCCTTTAAATAGCCCCTCGGTGCATGTGAAGTGTGCATTGATTCACACGGGCTCTTTCGGGGTCCCAACCGCTAAGTAGGGAGTGCAGACTGCGTGCGATTTTGAGGGGCCTCTCAGAACCAGGACCGACACGGCCTATCTCATTCCATCTCCTCTTGCCCTCGCAAGGTTGATGTTTTCATTTTACAGAAAATAATTAATCTTACAATGCTTCTTATGTGTCAGGTACTCTTTAAACACTGTATATATCAAATAATTCATTTCATCTTCCCACAACCCTCAGACGTGGGTGCATTGGTTTTCCCCATTTTAAGGATGTGGAGACTGAGGTTAAGGAGTGCTTCCAAGATCACACAGCGGGAAGTGTCGGAGCCTGGATTTGAGCCGGCAGGCTGACTTGAGCCTAGCTCTTCCCTGCTCCTACCTTTCGTTGCCCCTTGGGTCAACGAACTTACTCAAGATCACAGTGCCAGTGATTGGCAGGGCTGAGAGGAGATGCAGACCTTCTGGTCTGAGGCCATTTAGTGCCCTTTCTGTACTTCCCAGGTCCCTCTCTTTGTTGGGGGGCATATTTAGGGACAAAGCCCCCCCACCTTACTTGTGGTCGTCTCTGCCGGCCTTGGGCTTCAGCAGGGGCCTGGCAGAGCAGGAACCGCAGTTGGGAAGGCGGAGGGAGGCCCGGCAGGAGGGAGCTGGGGGGCCCACCCTTGCGTGCTCCTCACCGCACCTGGAGCAATGGGGCTGGGTCTGAGGAGGGCCGGGCCCTTCCCTCTCCTCCAGGTTGGCCCTGAAGGTGCTGTGCCTGGCACGGCGACAGCAGTCCCTGCTTCAAGCGGCCAAGCTGCTGACCCCCGACATGATCGCAGAGTTTGAGACCCTGCAGCAGCTGGTGCAGGAGGGAAAAGCTGAACCGGGTGCAAAGGCCTCAGGCGCACCTGGCCAGGCCAGGGAGGCACCTCTGGAGCCGTGTCCTGAGTCAGGTGAGTCTCACCCCTGCTCTGTCTCTAGCAGTGCCCTCTCGAAGGCCCAGCTGGCACCCAGGGGCGGCTGGGGCCTCCGATGCTGGGTCGTGCTGTGGTACACAGGACTCGCGGCCCACCTATGGAGTTAGGGGCTCCTGCGTGTCTCCCGTGTCTCTCTCCCCAAATTCTCCAGATTCGCCTTCCTTCTGGCCAGTCCCTGATCTCCCCTCAGCACCCGCCTTCTCTGTGCCCCAGATTCTCCAGGCTATTCTGGCCCCGTGACCCGGACCATGGCAAGGCGACTGAGTGGCCTCATGCACACCCTGGGGGTCCTACCAGGGCCTGACTGCACCCCAGCCCAGGTATCCCGGCGGCCCACAGAGAAGAAGAGGAGGAGGAGACCAAGCCCCTCGGAGCCTGACAGCCCCCCAGCCCCGAAGCCGGGGACCAAGCGCCAGCGCCAGTCCTTCCTGCCCTGCCTGAGGAGGGGGTCCCTGCCTGAGGCTCAGCCTTCACTCGGGCCCACCCCCCCCAAAGGGGGAAAGGCCTCCTCCTCGTCCTGCCACTCCCCTCGCGTCTGCCCAGCCACAGTCATCAGAAGCCGGGTGCCCCTGGGCCCCTCTGCTGTGCAGAACTGCTCCACCCCTCTGGCCCTGTCTGCTCGGGACCTCAACACCACTTTTGATCTCTCAGAGGAGGCCCCCTTGAAGCTGGGTTTCCACGAATGTGCTGGCTGGGAGAATGCCCCCCAAGAGCTGAACAGGCTGGATCAGCCCTTCATCCCCAGGTGGGTCTCCCAGCCTCCCTCCCAGCCCTCCAGGCAGGGGCTCCCTGGGGTCAGCGAGGGACAGAGGTGCTGCCAAGAGGAGTGGAAGCCGGCCTGACTCTCGGAGCCATGTTTGCTGTCTCCCTGCCTTCGGCCTGACTGGTGTCAGTCCCCAGGCCCGGGAGGGCTGCCCCTCTCGGGGGCCCTGCCTTGTCTGTCCGTCTCCAAAGCCGCCAGCTCTGGGTGGTTTGTGACATGCCCACGAGTGGCTAACAGGACCTCCCCCCCCACCTCAGGGAGGGTCAGCAGGAGCAGGAATAAGGAGGGGGCCTAGTCTTCTCTATTCCTCTGCATCACTCACACCCTCTGGCCCAGTCTTAGTTTCATGTCCCACTGAGAAATGCATATTTCTGCCATTTCCACCCCAGATTTTACCCTCCAGTCCAGCATCTGGAACTGGGAAGGGGAGCCTCGGAACTTTGTTCAGCATTTTTCGGTGAGAAGATGAAGCTCTCACCTTCGCCTTCCACCCACCTGCCAGGGTAGGGGAACAGTGACCAGCTCAGGACAGTCCAAGGCCAAGAACAATCAGCAGACTGACCTGTACTTGTGAGGCTGAGGGCAGCAGGCTGCCCACCGCACCCCCGGCCCCTCCTACGGCCTAAACCACCTCTCAGTAACAAGCTCACAGCCGAGCAGGTGGAAGGGTCAAATCGTTTGAACTCCAGTTCCCTGAACATTCCAGAAACTGACATCTGGATGTTCTCCCAGAATAAGCCTGTCACTCAGCTGTCAGCCCAGGCCGAGTGAGGCAGGGAGAGGAATCCACCTCTAAGTAGGAAGAAACCTCAGAGGTCATCTTGTCCAACCTCCCCACCCGCCAAGCTGGGGGCTGGAGGGAGGAGGTGCCCTTTTCTGGTTCCCTCCTGATCTGCCTCCTTTCACCTTCCTCCCTCTCGCAGTGGACCTGAGTCCCTGTTCACCGTGAAAGGCCCCAAACCAACATCTTCCTTCCCTGGGACCTCAGCCCGCAAGAAGAGGCGAGCTGCCAGGTGAGGCTGGGGCAGTAGACCGGGAAAGACAGAGCTTTCACCAGCATAGTGGGCACTGAGCTAGCTACAGGCCTCGGCTGTGTCTCTGGACCCCTCGGGGCAGGTAGCAGGGGTCTCATGAGCAGGGCCAGCATCGGGTTCCTGGACTGAAGGAGGTTCCTTTCGCCCTTGCTAGTACAGGGTTATACCAGAGGGAACCGTATCTCCCTTCTTCAGTGAAAGGCTACAGGCTCCCTCTCCTTGAGGGGGACATTCGGTGTTCACTGGTTAAACTGGGGGACAGACCACCCACCCTTCACCTCTACTTCCCTCCCACAGCCCACTAAGCTCTCTCCCCACTGCTTCTCCTGCCCTCAGATCTGGCCTTGGTGCTTAGCCTCACCCTGCTCTCACGGCTTAGTTTCGAGCTGTACCCCCTACCCCTACCTGTATCCCCAGGCATGACTGTGACCTTCCTACCTTCCATCCTTCCTTCCCTCCCTCAGTTCCTCAGTCTCCCGCTCACTGGGAGTGGCCCGAGGTCGCAGCCGCATCGCGCGCCTCCCCAGCAGTACCTTGAAGAGACCAGCTGGGCCCCTCTTGATCCCAGGTGACTGGCACTGGGGACCGGGATGTCCGGGGCCCTGGTGGCAGATGAAGACAGGAAGTAGGAGGGGAGAGGGTGGGCCAAGACCCAGGTGAAAGGAGGGCCTGGGGTATTTCCCAGCATCGCAGGGACCCTGATGAGAGAGGTGGGGGAGGGGTGGGGGAGGGGAGCAGCGGGACAGAGCCTCACTGTCTTCCTCCCTGCCTGCCCCAGCCAACTGGCCTGCAGAGCCCCCTTCCAGTCCCCGCTGCCCTGGCAACCAGCAGGAACTGATGGGGATTGGGGGAGCCCTGTCATCTGGGAGCTGTGTCGCCAAGGTATCCTGACCCAGCGGCCCCTCATGGCCCCCAGAACTGCCTGCACCAGGAGCCCTGGCTCGGAGCAGTTAATGCCAATACCCTCTTCTTTTATTAACATTCGTCGCCAGCCATTCATCCTGCTACCTGCCCTCTTTATCAATCTCTTGTTATACTCAGCTTCTCAGCATGTATGTATTCATCTCGAATGGTAACATTTTAAAGGTGCAGCCATCGGGACGCCTGGGTGGCTCAGTCATTAAGCGGCTGCCTTCAGCTCAGGTCATGATCCTGGGGTCCTGGGATCAAGCCCCGCGTGGGGCTCCCTGCTCAGCGGAGAGCCTGCTTCTCCCTCTCCCTCTGCCTGCCACTCCCCCTGCTTGTGCTCTCTCTCTCTGTGTCCAATAAATAAATAAAATCTTTTTAAAAATAAAGAAAAGAAAAAAGAAAAAAATAAAGGTGCAGCCATCATACCCCCCTTCCCCCAGTTCACAATGCTCTCCATGCAAGCAGGTGGCTTTGGGGGTCTTTGCTCCCCACCTCCCATCTGACAGAGGGCTCTGTGCACTCATGGCCTCTGTGCAGTGCGGAAGGGATGCGGACGTGGCGGGGGCTCCCAGCTCGACTCTCCCTGGTTGATGAGAGAGGGAGGCACCTTCAGCCTCATCCCTGCAGCCTGGAGCAGGGGCCCCAGCCCCAGGTCACCATCCTGGTGATGATGCAGATGATAGTAGTGTCTTGATTTCCAAATGAAGACAGCTTTATTGTTTTTGCCCTATTGTGAGCAGGATGCATACTCTGTGTAAAAAGAAGTATAAAGGGGCGCCTGGGTGGCTCAGTTGGTTAAGCGACTGCCTTCGGCTCAGGTCATGATCCTGGAGTCCCTGGATCGAGTCCCGCATCGGGCTCCCTGCTCGGCAGGGAGTCTGCTTCTCCCTCTGACCCTCCCCCTTCTCATGTACTCGCTCTCTCTCATTCTCTCTCTCTCAAATAAAAATAAATAAATAAATCTTTTTAAAAAAAAAAAGTATAAAGAAGAAAGGGACATTCAGCTTTAATGCTCCCACCTGGATGTCAGCGCTGTTAATACTCGGGTTTCTATCCTCTGATCCTTTATTTCTTTTTTTTTTTTTAAAGATTTTATTTATTTATTTGAGAGCAGGGAGCCTGATGCGGGACTCGATCCAGGGACTCCAGGATCATGACCTGAGCCGAAAGCAGTCGCTTAACCAACTGAGCCACCCAGGCGCCCTGATCCTATATTTCTGCATATATACATATATATGTACATGTAGATATAGATATATTTTTTTTATTATAATGATTAATAAACCATCTCCAACCTCAGTGTATGTGTCTTTCTGTGTACCTACGCGGGAGAGCAACACCTCCCCACTCTTCCAGACTTCAAGAAACTTCTGAGTATAGAAAACGTCCCCCACCGCCTCCTCCCAGGGCCTTAGGCTGGGGCCTAAGGGGTGAGCCCTGCTCTCTACTCTGCGGCCCCATCTTCCTCTAAGGGCCTCTGTTCCTGAGCGGGTGAAGAAGCCATCCCACTGACAGGCCTGCTCCATCCTTCTGCGGCCTTGGGCGTAGGTCGCTGTCAGAGACAGTGTCGAGGGGCCCTGGGTCTCAGGTGAGGCCCTCGGCTAAGCCCTGACCGCTGGAACCTCGCGCAGTCTTCTTCCCCGCAGCTCCGGAAGCCCCACTCCCCACCCAGGTTCAGTTCGTGGCTTCCCTCTGCACCCGTTTGGATTGTGAGGGTTCAACCCAAGTTTACCTCTGTCTCTCTAGGAAGATGCGGCTGCCTGAATGAATTAGCAGTGTCAACAGGATGATAGGAGTCTGTGTTTAGCTTGCTTCAGAAAACAAACATGTTAAAGGTATTTAGCACATTGTGAGCTGTGTGTAAATAATGCTGCTAATTTCAAATGAGTCCTCGCTGTGCTGGGGGAGCAGCCTCCCCTTCTACCTGGTGAGCCCTGCCCCATCCAGTTTTGCCTCCTTTTTGGAGGAGAGAGAAGAACACACAAGAGGAGCCTTGGGTCCCTCCCTGCTGCAGGCAGCGCACAAAACTTGGCGACCTTACGAGGTATAACGAGGAGAGGGACTCGAGAAGGTCCACGGAACGCACCCAGGGTTAGACAGCAAGTGGCGGCGCCAGGATTCAGACCAGGGTCTGGTTCTTCACGTGACACCGAGCTGCTTCCCTTTGGAAGCGAACAGGCATCTTTCCTTTCCGCGTGCCTGGGGTTCCCGCCTCTCCAATTAGTCTTGATGAGGTTTTTTTTCCCCGGTGCGCCGTGATTCCCACAGAAGCCGCTACGGCCTCCCATCTGTAGCCCCCAGCGGCCTGGCGTGGTGCCTTGACCTTCGGAGGCCTCGGCGAGCGCTGGTCGGATTCAAATTGAATAACTTGCCCATTTCCTGGGGCGCTCACATACATTATCTCATTTGATGGTCACCATCACCCCTGCAAGCACCGAGGCAGCAGGCACAGGGCAAGGAGGCTGGTAACGAGGGCCAAAAGGGCAAGCCTCTCGCAACGGGGTCTGGTGCACGAGGCAGAACTCGCCTAGGCTGGGGGGCAGCTTGCCAGTGGCAGGGGTCACTCTTGACAAGGCTGTTCTGCAACCGGCCATTGGCTCAGCAAACATCTGTGGCTCCGTGGTGCAAAATGTGCTCTCGGGTGACCCATTAAATGTACAAAGACTCTGCCAATGGAGTTAAGGACGTGTGGCTCCTGCCCTCAATCACAGGAGGTCGGGCTGCGAGTGCTCACAGCATGGTGTCCTGCAGGCCAGGAGGCAGCCTGGCTGGCCCCAGCTTCTCAATGAGTTGGCAGGGGCTGAGGGGGCCGCGAGCTGACAGCCAGCTCCCCGCTGACCTCCGTGGGCAGCGACGAGGCTGAGATTGGATTGTTCTTACATAAAGAGAGTCATCCCCCACCCACTGCAGGCCCAGCCCGATCTAAGGCCCCTCTTCCTGCTTCACCCGGCCTCTCCTACCTTGGGGGGTCTGCACAGGGTCCCTCACTCCACGTCTGGGAGTTCAGAAGTACTCTCTTCCCAGGCCCTTTGCGCTCACCTCCTTGCCCACCTCCGGCCCGAAGCTTGTGTCTGGACCCCACCCTGGAGTCCAAAGTCCTGCCCAGTTCAGAGAACCAGACTCAGTGCCAGGAGCTGCAGACACAGAGAACGAGACACTGTCCCTTCATGCGGGGAGTCGGGACAGCGGCTGTCTCTGTCACCTGAGGGTAAGCCCAAACCTCCTTCGGTGTTGGGATCTGTCAAGGGCAAGGGGACTGGGCTTTCCTTTCTGGGTCCTCCCACCCTCAGCCATCAGCTCTTTCTCCCCTCCCCACACACAGGGGACTCTGTCACCACATGGGGTGCCCCTTGGCAGCTGCTAACTCTGGAGTCCTCCCTCTCACACCCCTGCTCGTCTATCTCCAGGTTTTCCCAGGAATGTCCCTCTGGCTCTTAGCTAAGTTTGGGGGATCCTGGTTCCCAGACAGAATCTAGTTCGTGGTTGTCTTCCCCTCCTCCATGGTTCTTTTGTGAAGAGGGATCTCAGATGGCTTGGGATGGAGGCTGTGGGGAGAGAAAGGGACCAGAGCCACCCCATGGGGCCTGGAGACCATGGCTGTGGTTTCCGGCTCCCCCGAAACATTCCCCCCCAGCTCGCCTGCAGCCTTTCCACCCCTGTTCCCTGGTTCATCCTGTCCATTTGGAGGACCACTGTATTGGAAATAACAGGCTGCCCGCCAGCCCTCTCCTCCCACCAGGGACACATCTGCCCCCCCCCCACCCTCCCGGAGGGATGCAGTCAGGCAGGGAGAAGGAGGGGAGCAGAAAGCAGAACAGATCAGGGAAAGCAATTAAAAAGCAGGTCTCAGGGTTAGAGGCTGGAAAGTAGGGGGCAGGCTGGAGCGCCCAGGAGGGTGGGGAGAGGGGGGTTGGAGAGAAAGGGACCGCGCTTATTAACCCCAATGAAGCACCCTGGCCCCTGGCTGTGTGAAGGTAAGCAAATTGATGCCTACAACAGCGTGCCGACAGAGGCCAGGAAGGAGGAAGGGGAAAGAGTCTGGGGGTTCACCCAGGAACCCTTCTACAGCCACAGGAGCTGGGCACTTCTCACCAGGAGCTGGCTCAGCACAAGCTGACGGATGAGAGGAGAGGGAACCAAGCCTGGCCTGAGGCAACCCTCCTCCAGGCTGAGAGGGGGAGAGAGCCCTGCCCTCAAGGGGCTCCCATCTGACAGTGAACCATGGGTGCTCGCATCAGGGAGCTCCTACAGAAGAGAGGGTGTCCTGAGGGACCCTATCCTTAGGGAGACTCCATTCTGATGGGAGGACATAGGTCATAACATCAGGAAGTCCCTATTCATGGGGGCCCTTCTCCTGGGGAAGCCTCAGGCTGAGGGGCAGGAGAGACCCCCTCCCAAGGTACATGATAACACACCAAGAGCTTCTCAAACTGATGGAGACGTGGGCCTCAAGTCTGCCGCTGGGGAAGGGCAAGGATGGACAGACAGTGCCCCAGGGGGAGTCAGGGAGGTGAGAAAGCAGGCTGGGAAACAGGCTCTACTCTGAGTCTCCTCCAGGGCAGGTAGAGATGACTCACGCATGGTCCCTGGCAGACCCAGCTAGTGGTCTGGGGGCAAACGGTGCCGCCTCCCACCCTCTCTCCCCTGGCGGCTGCCCCCTGCATCCTGTCCACACTCCCAGGTAACTGTCCTGGGGAGGTTCCTATACGCTGTCCCCTGCCCGCCCCCAGTGGGGTCAACAAGACACGGCAGCGCCCCCCAGGCAGGCCCAGCTCCTGCCCCTCCAGGCCCAGGCCATCGTTAACGCAGATTAGGTAAAGCACCAGGTGGGTGTTGTTAAATGGAAGCTGTGATTTGTCGAGCAGCTGCTGTGTCCGGCTTTCCCTGAATTTATCCTCACCGCTACCTTGGACGTAAGTGTTGTGAGTCCCCATTTTACAGGTGTGCAAATGGAGACTCAGAGAAGTTCCCGAAGTCGTCAAAGATCATGTAGCTATTGAATGGCCGTGGCCCCTCTCTCCTCTAGAGGGCACTGTCAGAGCAGTCCGAAGCAACTCTAGAGCATACATGGGGTGATCCCTCTGGGGGACAGAAAACCGGGTTTTAGAAAGCCTGCCTGCCCCTGAGACCCACTCTATCCCCTCTGCGGGACCCTGCGGCCGCTGGGACCTGGGCAGCTGAGCACTGCCATCTAGTGGCCACCAGGGCCCAGTTCCCTTCCTCAGGGAGGGGGCCCATGTCGGGTGGATGGACTCGGTGGTAGCCAAGGAGTCCACCGGAGAGTCCCAACTTTCATCCCACCCCCGCATGCGGACCACCATGCTGCGCAGGCAATGGGAACGGGGCCGGGGCATAAGGCGAGCCAGTGGGCAGCAGTCTAGTGGCTTGAATTAGAGGCTGGCAAATTTAGAAAATGCTGGGCACCCTTGTGTGTGCGTTGAGGCCAGGTGTGGTACTGATCTGTCCCAGGAGGCAGGAGGGCATCCTGGTGGATTCTGACGTGGGGGCGGGGCATGGGGGTGGGAGACCATCTTGTCTCCACCTCGGCTTGAAGTGGGGCATGGCTTGGCTGAAGGCCCTTCGGAGAGGCATCCAGGCATCCTCTCTCCAAGCCCGGCAGCTTTCTGCTGTCTATTGAGAAGTCAGTCTAGGGATTGGCTTGAGGCTTTGGACATCGAGACCCTTAGATTAGGGAAGCAGGAGAGGAGGGACCACTTAGATGGGGCCTGAGCCAGGCCAGCAGGATGGGAGTAGTCGTGGAGGCTGGGAGCTGCATCTGCCTGAGGCAACTGTGCAGCATAGTGTGATCTAGAACAGAGAGAGAGAGGGAGGGAGGCGGGGGGGGGGGGGGCAACTGTGTGTCTAACAATAGGCCTTGGGTAAATTAATGCATACAGTGGAAAACCATGCAGCTGTTAAAATGATGATGTAGATAAATATTTATTGATATGGAAAGATGTTCACAACATATTGCTGAGTGGAAAAAACAAATTACAAAATAATTTGTGCAGCATGAGACCACTTGTAAAAAAAATGAACTTATATATATGGGGGGAAATCTGGTAGT